AAAAAAAAAAAAAAAAATGCATCAAATTTTCAAATGTAGAGAACCATCAAATTCACAATCTATAACCAATCAAAATTTCGAAAATGCACGTTGATGCATTAGTAGACACAGGCGCCGTGATTTCATGTGTGTCAGAACAATTTTTGAGTTCAATTAACAAAAAGGATCCAAAATTTTACAATTTCGGGATTAAATGGTTCTGTTCAAAAGGTTCCTTGCTTGATAGAGTTACCCCTTTGTTTCGGCGATGTAGTCATAAATCACAAATTTTGTATTTTAGGCCTATTACCTCGAAAATTGATCATAGGCATGGATTTTCTGAAAAAAAAAAAACACAATGTCAAAATAGATGTCAGTTTTGACAGTTTTACTCTACCCGAGTACAACTTAGAATTACCTTTGTTCAATCCTCCAAATATTGGATTTGTTAGATCCATTAGAAAGGAAACCATTCCAGCAAAATCAGAATGTTTAATTCCAGTGAAAATCTCGCATGCTTCATGTGTACATATAGCACTGTTAGAGCCAGTCAATCAGTTAGCATGTAAAAGAAACATTTTAGGATTTAAATGTTTAGTAACAGTGGATAAAAGTAGATCATGTTATCAAATCTTGAACCCAACAGATGAAAATATAATATTGCCAAGCAAGATAGTCCTAGCTACTCTTGGTGGCCACTTATTTTGCCTTTAACATGGCATATTCGACCAACCTTCTTGGCACCCTCACTTTCATTCAGAAAGTCCTGATTGGGGACACAGATAAGGTTATGGTTTTGCCCAAGCTGACAACCTTATTGACAAGAATACATTCATAAACTCTATGGAATCATTATTCATTGACAACTATGACAAGTATTCAAACTATTACAGGTTGGCCTATTTACCAGCTCTTTTATATTCCTTACACTTAATTTTAGCCAATTTACCGCTTCTTTTAAATTCCTTACACTTAATTTATTGATTATTAGGCCAAAAAGATGAGTTATTATCCCTTTAACTCCAAATGCCATAGGTCCCAAATGTATGTCCCAACACAACAGGCATCTGCGATGCCCTAAGTACAAATTAACACCAGCTGGATGTCCCAACTATCCTCAACAACGAAGTTCGATAAGAAAATGGCCAATGCGTCAAGGATGTGGTGAGTACACGCCATCTTAAACCTAAATGTTTTGCTCGCAATTTTAACTGAAATCTCTTAATACAGAGGTTTAAGTGTGAGGATTGCACATGTCTATCGATGCTACAGGGCCATGACCCTGGGGAGGGTTAAGGCCGAGTAGAGGTTAAGAGTTAGAAGTTAGCTAAGAGTTTAGCTTTTAAAAGCTGAAAATTTAACACTGTTATCTCTTATTCAAAATTCTTCTCTTTTCTTTTTTTGGATGGAAGAGCAGAAGTGGCTTTACCTTATCAAGCCGGTCCAAGAGTCCTGCAAGGGGAAGAGGCTCCACCCAAGCGGGGAGCTGGTTAATGTGGTTGCCAGTCGAACAATGACCTTGCAGGGGGATGCTGAGGCACTGTTGCTGGAACAGGTGGCACTCTCTAGGGATAGAGGTGCGGAGGCTTGGCACAAAGATTGTGCTAAGGGCCTGTTGGCTGTGGGTTTTCAAGCATGCAGTTGGGCAAGCGAGCATGTTGCCAGGGCTGCCACTCCCAGAAAAGGGAAGGGTACTCGAGAGGCATGGCATGCCACATATCGAGATTTCAGACTTCAAGAGGACCCTACTTTGGAGCACAGGGTAGATACAGTGACTCCGAGCACTGTGGTAAGAGGAAGTCCGGAGGCAGCAGTGCGAGAGGAGAGTGGGGAGTCGGGTCAGTATTGGACAGTGTGCTAAGGACTCCCACTAAGTCAATGGAGGTTAATACACCGAGGGCTACCCTTACCAGCTGGGGTAGTGAGATGGACTTGCGGGAAAAGCTAACGTACGCGGAGGTTGTTAAAAAAACCAGCCCGAGTGGATTTGTGGTGTCAAAGAGTAGAGCGAAGTCAACTAAGACTGGGGGCTTTTACCAACCATGGCCTAAGAGTGCAGCAGGGTTTACCAAAAAAGCCAAAGACTCAGAAAGGTGGGAAGCACTTCCTAAAGTACCTTCTAAAGTTCCCAAGAAAGAGGAGAAGAAGTGTTTCAGATGCAAGAAAGTGGGGAATGTGGCTCGTAAGTGTCCAACTCTGTGTGAGGAGGATAGGTGTTTCAGATATTCTGAACTGAGGCACATAGTCAGGGATTGCCCACTTTTGAGAAAAGCGGCCAAGGACCTTAAAGATATCTCCAAGGCGAGACGGGATCACTCCAAGGGAAGTTCATCGAGCTTGGTTAGTTCTTAACCTTCTACAAGTGGTCTCAAGGAGCTGGGTGCATGGGCCCATGCTAAGAGACAAAGGCAGAGTGGTGGCTCCAGTCAAGGGGGAGTTACCAGTGCCGTGGGCGCAGGACCTATTGCGGCGAGTTAAAGGATGTCATTGAGGCCAGACAGGTGGATGACAAGGAAATAACAGTTTCCAGGGCCACTGTTATCTTCTGTGACCCAGCAACATATCCTAGTGCTGAGGAGGTGGCTTCTCTGAAGGCAGAGGGAGACGTGGTATTGGTGGGTTGGCAACCAAGACACGAGTTTGACCCAGAGGGCTGGGCAAAGTTTGAGCAGGCAGCTAGCAACCCGGAGGTGACTGTTCTGGGTGAGATTGGTGTGGATTTCACCACCTCATTGTGGCAGTGGGAAGCACAATTTGAAGTGCTGGAAAGAGCTCTTACGTTACTAAGAGAAGACCAGGCACTGGTGCTCCACTGCCGAGGGACCAAGGACGACTCGACTACTGACATGATATGGGGACATGTTTTAAACATTCTCTGATTGGTTAAGGAAGTGAAAAGTGATAAACTAATTCACTGTCACTGTTTCACAGGGTTCAGGAAGATGGCAGAGAAGTGGGTACAACATTTTCCAAATAGCTACTTTGGGGCTACTTCTATTTTTAGGACGTATATGGATACGTCGAGGAGTAGGAGTGCAATGGAGATGCTACAGTGGATGCCTGCTCAAAGGTCCCTACTTCGGATATCCGTCAAGGAGTAAGTCTACTCCAGCTTTCCTGGGGAAGTAGAGGAAGTCGTGGCAAGAGTTCGTGGTTGTGAATGGGAAGACATCCTCAAGATTACTGAGGAAAATGGGCAGCGGTGGTATTTAGACCGGCTGGGGCCCCAATTTTGACTAAGAGCACTTTGACGCTGGCCAGGAGGTGTAAGGCCTGGTCAGGGGTAGAGAGAACAGAACGGGAAGTCCTTGGCTGGGTCAGCTTGGGCTCATCGAGAAGCGAATACAAGGATCATAAAAGTGTGTTGTGGATGTTGGTTCGTAATGGCTACCTCCAAACCTGATAAAGTCGGGAGGATTGTAGTGATCCGCCATTGGTGGTTGGCTTGTCTTGGGTCTTGATTCCAAGTTGAGGCTGAGTGGCAGATTGAAAGAAACTAGATAGCTGTGAGGAGTGCGGAGACTAGAGGTTACAGCTAGGAGGGATGACAAAGGGCAACGCCATTACTGAGAAGCGAGACAGAAAAATAGGTTGATATCCTGAGTTTCCTGTTGCCAGGCATGCAAAGGGATTTTGGGCCTGCTAAGGTAAGCAGTAGAACAGAAGAAAGATCCTAAGCTAGATTGGAGTAGTGTAAGGGCTTTTTATAGTAGAGTGAGTTTGAGCAAACAAATGTCTCAATTACTGACCAGTGACAACAAAAATGACAAGTGACAACAGCATTGTGATCAAGAACAACATTCATGGACAATGACAACATAAGTGACCAATAACAATATCACAGTGGTCAGTGACAGAATTGACACCTTGAGTAACTGACCACAATACTGACTAGCAGCAGTGACTTAACAAACCAACACCAGTGTTATAGCAACATGCAAAACATAAAAAAGCATATAAAACACCTATGAAATTTAAAAATACAAATAAGCAGATATAAATAAACATTAACAATGGAAGTTCAATATGTACAAAAATCACATAAAACCATTTTGATATCACAATTAAAAAAGTGCAATTATTAAATAAAAACCATTTCTTGCTTTATACAATCACTTGTACCTATTATACAGAAGTAGATTCTTTCTGCTGTTTGAAAGTATGAGGAAATGTGTTGTTCAAGCACTGTACAAGAGCCTGCATATATAAGAAAAAAATTAAAAAAGAGAGATCTTTACTTTTTCTTCAACACTGAATTGCTTCTAGTATCTATCTCCATGCTGGCCTGGATGCTGTCGTCGTGGCTCCTGCTGACCCCTGTCTCCCTGACAACGGTCGTCCTGACAATGGTCTCTTAGGAGATCCAGTATCTGATTTAGATGAGTCTGCCTTCATAATTTTATAGTTTGTGGGAGAGAACAATAACGGTTTGACCTTTGGACTCTCTTTCTCCCAAGGAGCTGGGAACGTGGGTTCAGGGAGAGGTTCTCCAAACAACATTTCATCCACATATGTTGGCGTGTGCTTAACCAGTCTGTACTTATTCCTTGACCGTGAACCTAGGGGGGTGCTGGATCTCGACCCCGCTGGCGAAACAGACCTTGCTGACCTCTGTGGACTTGGGCTGTCTCTTTGCGATGGCGGCGGAGACCATATTAATGGTTTCTCTTTGCGATCCGCAAAAGGATTGTCTCTGTCACTCCACTGTGTGTCACCACGGGGATTGGGATTGTGCGGCTTGAAAAGAAGATCATCGACTTCAGACGTATTAGAAACTTTGTGGTATGGATTTCGGCTCCTCCCACTCGGAGGACCACTACTCAAACTTGAGCTGGGCCGTGAGCCAACAATGGCGAATGCATGGTCCGAAGTATTCATGGTGAGAACATATAAAGTACCTGTCAGATTTTGATGAGGACTACATTGCGACTGCTACAGTTGAGAAGCAGTTATAAAAATTGTGACTAATCTCAACTAACACAATGGCTTGGTTTTGTTGCCACTCTCAGCCTTATTTCTGCTGACAAACTTTCATGACAAGTCTAAGAAAGCGGTGGGTGTTCTTACAATTTCAAACTGTCACAAATAACACATTGATGAACAGGTTTCTTATGGTGATACTTGGATTTCCTTAATTCCCCAGAAATTTTACTAAACTGTTGCTCTTTGCTCCTGTAACTTTCAGACCAAAGTTGCAATCAGTGTCAATCACATCCTTGTTCTTTTTTTTTCTTTTACTCCTATTTTAAGCTGACTCTTCAAATCCAGTTGTTATAGAGGCCTGTATGGAAAACTTTTTCTTGGAAGCCCGATGCTTTTTAGTGACCTGGAAGTGGAAACAAACCATTAAGCATGAATTTAAGGTAGTTTTCACATTGGGGAGTACACTGAAAGGTACACCTTACATGATTTACTCACCAAAATGAATTTCATTGGGAAAATTTGAAAGCAATTTCCTCCTACTCACAAATCATTGCTCCATCCAACCCGGCTCTAAGATTCATGTTTATTCCATTTTTTACTCAATTATTTTTCATCATGACTGCCTGTACATTTCAGAAGGAAATATGGATGCCAGGTACTTTTATTAGAAAGTTTTTTTTTGGTCTGAATTGGGTAAGATCTAACAGACCATGTACATGTAGCACCCCATTCCCACAGATTTTAGATTGATCTATCCCTGTGGGGAGTCTCACTAGATTACTGTCAGCATAGCCGGCTTAAAAGTCTGCCCCGCCTACTAAATGCTGTAAGGGGGTAATTGACATCCGTGTGTGGTCGGCTGACTGCAATTAAGCGTGAACGCCCAGGGAGTTAGGTCGATCTAGTAAGATCTATCTAAATCTCTGGGTATGCACCCTAGGTCTGCAGGATATGTAGACATACTGGTACATGCAGAAGTCACGGCTTTGAGATATCTTCAAAGGTGAACAAGAAAATTTTAAAGAGAGAGATGCTCAATTAATTAACTACATGGCTGGAAGCAAACCTGTGCAGTACTCATGAAAGACCATATTTTCTTTTTTCTCTCTCTCAGTTGAATTTATACAAATGGTTTAGTTATATTCCTTTTACTCACCAGTACTTCAAACAACAACACTTTCTTTATTTTATAAAAGTCACCATACTTTGGGTAAACATGAAGGCAATAATAATTCAGGCATTAAAGTTAAAAATATTATCTATCAAAATAACTCCCATCCTTCCTTTTATTTCTCCACCCCCCCCCCCCCCCCCAAGCAAATTCATGCGTTAACACTCCTATGGACGATTCTGATATGTACTGACTGTGCTAACTGTGTCTGTGTATGTGTGTTAGGACAGACAGTACATATATCAGAATCATCAATAGGAGTGCTAACGCATGAATTTTCGTGCTATCCCCCCCAAAAAAAAGTTTACTGGCACACAGCACTAGACTCTTCCGTATTCAGTAGGGCCTAAATTTTGTCGGAATTGTTACGATTTTCTTGTTCTATCTTACCTACACCCTCCTACACTATCCAAGGTCTCGCTCTCTGAAAATCCAAATTACAAACCAACTCTTGAGCGTCACCATCACCTGTCCATTGACAAATATTTGAAAATTGAACGTGTATTTACCACTTTGTGTACATGCAACGTCCTTGAACTTTAGATCTCGTTTGCAGGCGTGGATTTTTAATCTCAGGTCAAATGTTATTTTGCTTTTATCATTTTTATTAAAAAATCAAGTATTACTCCATAATTCTATTAAGTGAAGATCATTTTTAATCTTTTCTAAATAAATCGAATAAATATACGGCAAAATCTCCCAGAGTTCTTCGCTCATCGCAAACACAACGAACAAACATGGCGGGGGGAGGCATGTGCACCGGCGAGCAAACGACCGCCAGGACGTTCATGACTTCAAGCGATGAATGTTGAATTATTTTAAAACACGGGAAGATTGGCAAGGTAAGTTGCTTTTATGTGAGTGGGTTTTAAATGTATGAGACGTATGTTTCCACGTTACCATGCGCTGAGTCTTCCAACCGGTGTCTCTCGGCACGTGGTGTGAAAACTGAAACAAGTCGACCTTGCCCTTTGTGTAGAAACGATTCACTTACGTCGATGTCGTTGTACCGACGTTCACATTTCTCTACAAAATGTGCTTGTACCAGAGCAGTCTCAGTGTATCAATTCTTGTGGAATAGTAGCTGATGATATTTTAGCACGATGTTTCTGACGGTGGGTCAGGTAGTTATGGCTTATTCGTAAATAGCTGTAGTGTAGTAAAACACCATTTTAGTATTTTAAAACTACAAGTAGATATACTGAGCAGCGTAAAAATAATTTTCAGTTCTTCTCTGTGATATGCATATTTCTCAATTGTTGTTTTTATTTTAGAAAATGTTTTTATTTCAGAAAATGACCACTACTCAGTGGTGTGACCTGTGTAGGAAGAAAGGACTGGACAAGAAGCTGGTTCCTCTGCAGATAAATCTGGATGAAGCAGTGTTGATGTGTCAGAATGAAGCAGTAAGTCATGTTTATAATAATAATAGTAATAATAAATAACAATTACAACAATGATTATCATTACAGTTAAATAAAAACAAAATTAAAAATAATTTTTATTAATAAGTTAATCCTAGGTATGTAAAGTTAATCAGTCCCAGCACTTCAATTTTAAACGTTTCATACCATTTTCAAATAAATGCATTTAAAATGTAAACTGTAATCTGTAAGACTGCCATGTCTACCTATACTTAAATAAAGTAACCCAATTGGGTATTTATTTGAGGGGGTTTAATATTTTTAAGATCTGAATTAAAAAGAAAAATAAAATAAATGAAATAGAAGCATAGTTATGCAGGGTGTGTAGACAGAAAATGTGTCTTTGGGGCAGTTCACATTTCTGTGATATTTGGCAGAGTGCATGGCCTTTTTGTTAGCAGATAAACTATTTTGAAAATTTAGTATAAGAACATTTTCCAAGTTTACATATTGCCTTATCTGCTCATTATTAATCTTTTTGGAAATTTTATTTCCAGTGCCCTTATCCTATGGGAGCTGACCTGTCTCACAGTCTCCTGGAGAGAAAGTACACAGAAATAGCAAACCCAAGAAAAAGGAAGAAACAAAAGGGGGAAAGTGGAACAGTGTCTGTCTCTTCAATGTCCAAACACAGAAAGCTCAAAACATTAAGCACAGCTACCTCTGACAGTCCATCATCTCTAGGAGGCAGCACTTCCAAGAAAAGCTCAATTCCAGCTCAGCTCAGTTTTGTATCCAGGGCCAGTGGAGGTAAAGACCTTCAGATTGCTAGGCCTCTTCCACAAGGTGGCATTAGTTGCAGACTTAACCATGACATCCCCAATTCCACACCAGTTGAAAAAGTCAGGTCTTGGCTTTCCAGTTTATCGTCAGTTTTGCCTCCCAAGCCTGGCGTTGCTGTGGGAAATGCTCACTCGCCTTCTTTGCTCAGGTCTAATATCAGCTCAGGGACTTCTGCCTTTAGACCTTATGTAGCAGAACACAACAAGCAGAACAGAACTTCTCCAACTGTTGAAGGGAAACGTGATAACAATGACATTTTGACCAGTGAGACAGCAGCCTGTAAAAATTTGTCAACATTGGAAGCAGATAAATTGTCTTCTAAAAGTTTAAATGGTGATATTGAACATGGCTGTTCTATGCAGACAGTTACTACTGGGAAAAATGACCCAGTTACCACTGTGAAAAATGACATAGATGCTGACGTAAATGACCTACTTACTGTCCAAGATGACCCAGTTACCACTATGGCATGTGATAGTGGCGACAAAATCCTAGCTGAACTTGGTTTGATATCTCCTATACTTCAGCCTGAACAGGTAGTGCCTGGTATCAACACAGCACCAAACACTGCGATCCCAGGCAAAGCTGCTATGAGCAAAACCCTACCTGCTGAAATGACTGATTTGCATGATGTGAACAAAGTAGGGAATACCGTAGAAATCACAAAAGGGATTAGTTTATGTATAGACACTACAGGTGCCATGGCAGACACTAGGACAGTGACAGTTGTGCACAAACCACTGTTGACTTGTCCAACAACAGAGCCTGAAATGTTCAGCAAAGACACCTGTAGCTTGAGCCACAATCAAAACGGAACTGGAGATCCAGACAAATGCAATGACAATTCTTCCTTCCCATCCTGTGACATTACATCCCAAGCTGACATTCCTCCTGTGAATTTGAAATCAGACTGTAAATTAAGCTCAATCAACTTTCGTCTTGCAGAAGAACCGGAATGCCAGGATGGTGATATTCTATTTCCTCAGTGGTATAACGAAGATGCTTTGTGCTGGCTTGACGTAATAATGTGCCTTATAGTTCACAACAAGACAATACGCCATAGCCTGTCTTGTCAGTCCCCTGGTGGCAGCCTGTGGAAGCTTATTGAAGAGTATGACAGAGCAGTTGACATTGTTAGGAAAGTTGGGCATGGGGTTCTTCAAGGTTCTCATGGGATGAGGCGGAGACAAAGTGATCCAGACGATAACTTTGCTGTGAAAACTGGAGGAGGACATTGCTGGACAGTGAGTGGACCTGTAGTGACCACAGCACAGACTGGCCAGGCTGTGACAGTAGTCAGGGCTGTGAATGACTCGGAAAATGTCAGGGATGACAAAGATGGTGCACACGGTAAAGTTAGTGCTCACCACAAAAGTGCAGATACTGAAAATGCGAGTGAACTTGCCCTGGGCAAAGCACAGAGCTTTGGAAATTTGGAAATGAAGAGAATTATGGAGCAATCTTGTGTAGAATGTGGAGAGAAAACAAACTCAACCAACCAGAATACTTCTTCCACAATCTTCTTAGAGAAGGGTGATGGCAGAAATGCAGTGACTGTAACAAAACGTTCACGGTCAGGGAAGGTGACAAAATCCCATATTTGTCAGCTGATGATAAGTCAACTGCTTGCTAAAGGAGGACAAGTGATTCAAAATGGACATTCTCTTGGAGACGACACGGAGACCAAAAGCGGTTTCCAGAAGCAGCAAGAGCAGGGGGATGATCTTGTGAAAGAGAGTCTGAGAGAGAAACTCATGAAAGTCATCAACATCTTAAGTGACGTACGAGAGCTGATCTGGCAGCAATTAGAGCCTCGTCTTCAGTGTCAGAAGGGACGTAACGACAGCCCGGTGTTTGCATTACCGCTGTTGGTGACTCAGAACAAAATGGAGGATTTTTTCAGGGTGGATTACCATTGGCTGTTGCAGTGCAAGGTGTGTGGATATGAGCAGCGAGATAGGTAAGACTTTGGGAGATTTTAGTATTTATTAAAGAAATTAACAAAAATTCCCCAGGTACTTTCTGGTGTAAAGTGTCTCTTAGCCAGTTGATTGAAATAATTATGTATTATAGTCAAATTAAAATCTGATGTAGAACGGCCATGAATTGTCATAAGTAAAACATTTTTTCAGAACTTATACATAAATTAATAAATAAAAAAAAGTAAGTCGGTTAATGGTTTGCACCATTCTTGAAGTAGAATTCTTTTATTATTGAATTCTTTCACTATTGACAATTTACATGACAATATTCCAGGCACAGTAAGGTTCTTCCCACATTTCCCAGTGTGGCCCCTGATTTCAGCATGACGAACGCCAGCTTCCTGCGACCATGTTTTAAGTGTAACGCTGCTAGTCAGAAGAGGACCATGCACATAGAGAGGTATGAGACGCGCAGGTCTACCAGCGAGGGGTGAACAGGGTTTTTTCTTAAATTTTGAGTGATTTTTTTTTAACTACACCTTAATATGTTAATAATTGAATTTTTTGTCAGTAGCACATTGGTTAAAAAATTATAAAATAAATGATGTATTTGAGTCATTGAACCCAGGTGAATATTATTCTAACTTTTTCTTATTTAAACTTGATTAAAGTTTTAAAAGTGGGAGAATTCTCAGAACTTTGTACCATTTCTTTAGCATATTTTGCTAGCAGGGACTGTTTTGATATTCCTAATTGTTTTATCATGATAATACTTTTATATTTTAAAAATAAATATTTTCATAAACCAGATATCCGAAGGTGCTGACCATGCACTTTGTGGAGGGACTTCCAGTGGGGTCAAAGGTCACAGACTTGGACTTTAGTCAAAATGGAGTCAGCTATGGCATCAGCGGCCTGGTGCAGTTTAAGACAGATCCCGATCACTTTGCAGCCTGGGTTAGAAAAGGTAATGTATTGATAGAAGTAGGTATGATAAACACAGGGGCCTGTTTCACTACAATCTTTTTTTCAGTGGACTAAATAAAAGACCACTTAAGTATAGCAGCCTGCATAAAATTGACTTTGCAGTTTTGGTCTGAAAACATTTCATGAATGTTTGGAACAAAGTACTCAATGTTGGCAACATACCTAAGTAGTCTTTTGTTTCCACTGAGATTGAGTTAAACTCATTGTCAAAACAAACAAAATTTTATCTGAGATATTAGTCCAAAGACCTAATAAATGTGAGCAATTTCAGATTTTTTTGGTGACAAATACTTAATTGTGGTTGCTACTGTTATCAGCAGTCTTTGGTATTCTACATTTTATTTATTTATTTATTTATTTATTTATTTCATGATAGTGAACAGGTCCCAGCACAAACACTTATTTCAGCCAAAAGAATCTGGATATACCACGTAATAGCTACACTCTTCACATGTCCAGTTATGTCAACTTCAGTCAAATTTTTTTTGAAAATAATTACACATCCCAGTTACTGCATTCAGTTAAAAAAAAATGCACATGCACAAACAAATAAACATGCTGCCATGCAATAAGACCTACATGCTCACAGACAAACACAAGTACATGTGCTATGTTTTATCATTAGTCTACACCTGTAAAGCTGATGACTTGGTTATTTGAAGTTTGGATTCCATGGGTATAGTTTTCAAATGAAAAGTCTGTTTACGTATCATCGTCTGCTGTTGTCTGCAAATTCAGAGAGTGTGTTGACATCATAAGTTTTTGTACCCGTGTTTGCCAGGTGAGTTGGTTTTTAAGTCTGTGTTCGTCGTCCAAGCGTCTCATTTTCCGTTGCATCTGTTGGACTGATGGAGTTTTGTCTTATGCATTATGGTTTATACAGATGGGTTTTCTGCGTCATCTTCTTAAATATTGGTGGAGTTGAGGCTGTTCAAACTTGTTTGGGACAATGTTCAGAAACCATTGAAAATGATTCCTTTTTATCTTGTCCTTGGCTGGTAAGAACAGAGAACGTGTATAAAAAGCATTTTGTTTTCTTAGTGGTGAGTTACCATGGTTACTATAGTTTTCATACATAAGTTTTTATGGTAACTGTGTGGCTACAAGTAACATGATTAAAATGGTGTTTGTAATTCAAAAATAACTTTTTTCTGATTTTTGGAACTAGTCATTAAAAAAAAAAATTAGATGATTAAAATAAATAGTGTAAATTTCATTTTATATGAGAACAAGAATATAAGTTATGGCTTTGTCTCATTTCTTATTGCATAGGTTAATTTTGTGACTTTGGTTCTCTGAATATGGTGAACACATTCAATTTGTCTATAGACTGCATGTTGTGAGCCAGAGAGAAAAATTTATAACTTTTGTGACCTGTCTGAAAATGTGTCAGTTTGCAATGTCATAATGTAAAATACAGATTTTGAAATATCTGGAAAAACTTTGTTTCGGACGAAAACAAATTTTTAAAACTAATATAAGACATTTTGTGTTTTAATAAATTATCATGTTTGATATTCTTTACCCAAAGTGCACCCAAAATCAGTTTTGGAAAATTTTGAAACTTTTTTCTGGAAAAAAAAAAAAAAAAGAAATGAAAAAGAGTGATGGAGGGGTGAGGGTGGGAAAGGGTTTTTGCTTTGAAAAAAGCATTAAAGCAAAAAAGAAAAATTAAAAAATAAAAAAAATGTTTTGCAACCCAGCTATTGTGCAGCCTGTTTTGGAATTATGATGCCATATACTTGGAGAAAAACCGGCCGCCCTTTAACAACAATAGGTAGGTTGAAACAGGCAAGTAGCACTTTTTTGTATTTTGATGTGCTATATGCAATACTCTTTTTTGCACATTTTTCTGATGTAAAGTTTTGTCAATCAAGTAGAATTTTTTTAAAGTTGTGATTAATGCAAAAAAAAAAAGTGTATTGTGTATTTTTTTCTTAACTTAATAACTGTAGGTAATCTTTGTTTACTTCTTAAATAATGTTGGTGTAACACACTGATTTGCGGAAAAAAAAAAAAAAAACAGACTTTGTGATGATTTTATGAGCCTCTGGTTTCATTATTAACTGCTGATATTGAGTGTGAGAGGGTGACTTCAGTAACCAACTCCTTGTCTTATACAGTCATGTGTCAAATTATCACGACGCTATTATTAAAGAGGTTATGCATCACATTGCAACTTCTAAAAACGAGTAAAATAGCAAATTTTAATTTGTGTCAGAACATGGAATCAAACAGTTTGGTTAAATGTCAAATTATGCCAGAAGTAAGGCATTGAGTCAAGCATTGAGATAGAGTTACAGTAGTAAAGTGACACTTTGTGACTTATAGAGTCAAAATGTTTAGTGTCCAGATAAGTCAAGTAGGTCAAAATATCACATGTTGATGTGCCACTGAGTCTTTATAGCAGTTGAAATACTGAATTGTGACAGATAATCTAGCAAAAAATGGCAGTCATGTTAGTCATGTCAAGCTTTAAGGTGTCACGTGACTTAAAGGGTCAAGTTTTGAGAGACTGAGTCAAGTTGTAAGTGTGACGCACAACTGTCAAGTTCAGGAAGACTGAGTCATATTGCCAAATGGCAATTTGTGATAGATGACTGTCAAAGGGTCAAGTTCCGAAAGATAAGAATCATATTGTCAAGTCTCAAGTTGTGAGACATGGCTGTCAAAGGGCGGAGTTTCAACAGATTATTGAGTCAAAGGTCAAGTGTCATGGTGTGACTGGTTTTCAGTGAAAAGTGTCAGATGTTCACTTATGACAACAATAGACTACATTGTTTTAAAGGGAAGGTGTTATTTTTAGCCTAATTATGACAATCATCTTGTTTCTTTGACCTTGCTTTGAAGTTATTTTAACTCTTTAATTAATCTGGTGTCACAGGAAAACTCTTTATGTTCTAAGTACCTGACTGACCTCATGAAAACTTCTTTTCAAAAAGTCATTTAATGTGGGCTCGTGGAACATGTTATCTTATACATTGGAATATATATATTGAATTTCATGACTATTAAGTACCAGTCTCTGTAAGGTTCAGAATAGGGTGGCACATGACCATCTCAGATTTTGATGAAAATTGGTGTATTTGTTCATTATAGCCCCAAACCAACATAATGGATATTGGTTTGTTTGAATCACCCTCAGTTGCCATNTTTTTAAATCCGTCTATATCTCTTAGGTATATATATATATATATATATATATATATATATATATATATATAATGTTTTTAGTAGTGTTAATTTTAAATGGCTTTCAATTGTTTCAGATTTAAATATTGTAGTGATTTTTTAATGATTTTAGTTATATTATTGTAAGGCGCCTTGAGGTAGCACGTAAGACACCATATAAGAATATTATTATTATTATTATTGACAGATATCTTTTACATGTCTATTTTATTTTACAAGTTTTTTTATTTAGAATCCTGGTTGTGAAGAACTAGAAATTTCTTCCACTTGTATGAGTACCAATTTCTACTGTATATATTAAGTATTCAAGTAATCTGTTCTGTTATCGACTTCAAGTACCTGAGAGGGCACGACGGGCCTTACAGGGCGCTGTTTTAAATTGGAGGTAGAGCATACTCAAGCAGTAAATAGCCGTAAAACACAAACTCACGTTGAACATCAAAACTTTATTAGAAAACCTATATCAAAGTTAACACTGACTGTAATTTAGAGTATAGTAACTGACAGTGCTTTACTTATTTGTCGATTATATCGGATATTAACGGCAACTGCACGTGAGGGAGAAGACGAGGTTTTCACAGTGGTACATGTACCTGGTAGTTTTCTTGATATCCGTAGTAAGTAGTGCCGATTATTTACGACCATAAAGTTCTACCAGTCCTTTCTTATGGGTAATTTATGAAAAATTGCATATCATGCCGTAAATAAATAACTGTGTGCATTCTCCTTCCACATACGAAAGCGACGGCAATCAGAGCTCCCGCCATCTTGGATAAAATTAGTTATGTTGTATATAAAAAAAACGATGTGCGGAAACAAATACTACACACCAGTCAGCATAAAAACAATCCAAGCAATAAATGATTTAGAAAACAAGTACCATTTATCCAAAAAATATCCATTTCATGAGATAAATAACCTTAATTCAATTTATTTACATCTGAATGAGTTCGTAGTTTAGCAGTCACCGCTACTGCGCATGCGCAGATGGTCTTTTTCGCGTAATTTTAGCGTTGATTGCTTTTAATGTAATTTAACCATTTTGTGTTTTGAAAAAAATTTTATTTCATTTTTTGGTACCTGAATATATGCTGTAAACATCTGGTATAGCCATCTTACATAACTACGTCGGCCATACGAGTTATTTGTCAGTGAATATGGGGTTACCTGAACATTTTATATAGAAAAGCATATGGGAGAAAAATTTCAGGCTTAAATATAAAACGCTCTAAAAAATAAATTATTTTAAATATGCAACTTTTCGGGCTCAATTTATTAGTTTTTAGCATAGTTCTTCACAATAAATTAAAAGAAAACAAAATCTGGGAGGGTCATGTTCCAATGCCCCTATGTTATTTTTCTGATTCTTACAGAGACTGGTACTTAAACAAGATTATAAAAACATGATGCTTGTCTAAATACCTTAGTTTTATTGGTTTTTTGCTTTAACAGGTCATTGTTGTTTGATGGAAAAAAAAAGCTGCATATTTGCAGCAGACTTTTCTTCTAATGTCATATTTAACGTGAAAGTACGCCCTTTGCTGTGTTAGATTCCAAGTGTTTTATGTTAAGTCTATTTGATGAAGTATAAAGACATGAATGACTGAATTGGCATTTAAAATAAAGATTCGGTCAAGTTTGAAAATATGAACAAATCACATTTTAAACCATGAAAGGTTCCCACTTTGGTTTTAAAGGTTTCCTTTTAAAAAGTGAGAAAAAATCTTTTATTTGATACATGTACGTAGCAACATTTTTATTTGCTGTTCCCAAAGAGAAAAAAGAAATGGACATTGTCAAGCAGATCTCACAGATACGAGATTCTAATTTGTGTGAATATTTCTATATTTGCAATTATTCACACACATCAGAATCTGTGAATATTTGTATATTTACAATTGCTCAATTTAATCTTCATTACTCCTGTTTTCCATTGAAGGCCACCAGTGGATGGAGTGTGATGACATGAAGCACCCCCTGTGTCATTTTGAGAACAAAGAGCCAGCCATTCTTCCAGGGGAGGTCCACATTGTTATGTGGGAGATGGAGAGCAGTCTCCCCGCACTGTCTACCAGCAACAGCACACCCCCCTCTCTGTCAGCAGTCCCTTGTAAAGGATCCGTTGCCATTACAACCAGTTCTGTTGACAGTGAATTGACCGCCAGATGTAATATTAGAGTAAACGCTAGCGACAGCAGTTTAAAATGTACACCAACAGTGCCTACTGATGCCATAACAACTAGGGATGCACATGTTAAAATGGTCAATGCCTCAGTTGGTGCTGTTTCCATGAGCAGTATTGCAGATAATCTTACAGTAGATCGCCCCAAGCAAGAAGTCTTGATAAACCAGGGACAAGTCCCAGGTCAGGGTTCTCTGAGTGGCCAAACTGCAGTAGACCCAGCAGTCCTGAAGGTTGAGGAAACCACCAAGGTGGACAATTGTCCAGTCTCGGACACCTGCTCTGGTCAAGGAAAAGTCGCCAGTGGTTTAACTAGCATGAAGTCCAGTGTGTCTTCTCTTGATGGCAGTTTGGGTGACACTGGGCGTAGCCTGTCCCGGTGTTCAACGCCATCTGGTGGAGTGTTAGAATATGTGGGTGGTGTTGTCAATGGTAAAGGTGGCGCCACTTGTCAGTCTGTCACACCTTGTAGTAGTGGTTCCAACATTGTGACCACTAGTAATGGTTTAAATCAACTGGAAAGCAACAGTTCTGTGGTAGTCTCCCAAAATTCTGCGTCTCAGCCTCCATCCCATCTGACAAAGAGTGTCAGCTTGTTTAGGAGGATGGTCAAAAACAAACCAGCTTTAAAGTTACCGCCTTTGTGTCGGCCAGAAGAAGCACGCTCGAATGATGGGTCTGTTGGCAAGATCACCGGGAGTATTGAGATAACCAGCGGTGCTTTGGTTCAAGGATACAGTGAAGGGAATAAGATGCCCAATAAAGAAAGTGACACCAAGCGTGGGCCAAGGAGGACACCATACCAGAGGTCAAGAGGAAAAAGGGAAAATCCTTTGCCTTCAACCTGTGGGGTTTCTGGACCATTTCAACAAAAGGCAAACATGAGAAAGTCTTCTGGGAGTCGAGGATGTTCTGGTGGAACAAGTGCCATTGGAAATGTCACATCTTCCTCGTTAATGATGCCACTGTCAGCAGCAACAACCGCAGCAACAATAGCAACGTCTCTGGAAGCTCCAGTTGAAACTGCATCCCCTTTCCCAAGCCTGTCTTTCCTCAGCCATGGTCCAAGCAGTAACGTTTCTGAGCCTAAAAAAGATGTCGCAGGCATGTTCACTCCCTCCTCGATAGGGGGAGCCACTACCCTCTCCACCCCCAAGACGTCTGTAGATGGTTCTGAAGTTGGCAGACGATCCAGCCCTGCTTTGTCCAGTGTTAGCAGCAGTGCGAGTAGCAAACCGTATGTCTCGCTTGTGAAATCTTTGTTGCAAAAGAAGCAGCCAGGACTTTTGGATAAGAACCCCAAGACTACAAAGAAGGGCTCCACCTTTGCTGGCTATACACCCAAGGCTCTACGCAATCAGCCTGTGGAACCCAACAAGATAAGCCCAGCAGAAGTCAATTCTGCTGATGCTGTCCGATCTCCAACCAAGAGAGCAGTACAGTTTTCTCTGTCTCAGAATTCTGATGGCAACCAGAGGGAAGTGTGTTTGAGGTTGGTGGCAGAAAACAATGGCAGTGGTAGTAATGCTGTTCAAAGACTGCCGGTTGTCTTTGTCCCTCTCAAAGGAATTTGTTCCAATAAACTGACTCCAGTGAACAAGAATCAGGGTGTGTCACGTGATGTATTGACCGTTGTGTGTGAGAAGAAGAAAGAAACCGTGAAACCTGCATCTGGAAGGGGTTCTAAGCTCAGTCGAACAAATTGCAGCTCCAGTCCTCGTTCAAAGATGATCCCGCTCCTTAACTATGACAATTATTTGAAGTCGAATACCACCACGCAAAACAGTATGAACTATAACCAAAGTAAAGAGGGAAGTGCCCTTAGTACACGGGGTTCTGTAGTCGAATCCACCAGAGATGTTGCAAATGGCCCTGCCCCCGGGATGATTCCCCTGGATGATGCAAATGACCCCAAGGAAGAGGGTGAAGTCCTTAAAGAGTTATACGAAGCCCTAGGGTGCCTGGACATACCTTTGAAGGAGATCGAGGAAACCCAAGTCAGCCCTTCGGATGAGGAGAATATATTTAGAGATTTGTTTGCCGCGTGAGAAATAAGTTTATATTTGCTGCTGTTTAACCCATGGTTATTTTGACAATCTTTATTCTTCTTCTTCTTATTATTATTATACGGTGTTGCTATTTTTCCTAGTATTCAAATCTGAAAGCAGCGCGTTTAGATTCTTTTATTTTGTAATTTTTGTAATGGTAGAATGCATCACCAAATCATAATGTGAAGATGAGTAAATGATACTACTGATACGTCAACAATGATCGACATGGTAAATATTGGTGCAATCCACGCTATCAGGTGATTTTTTTCTGAGCAATTGGTAGGTTTGTGATGTTGAACAATTTCAACGTAATTTGTTTCAATACGAGGATACCGTATAGCAAATAAGCCCAAATGGCAACTAACGGTACACTAAAGTGAGTCATTTTCAAGATCAAGACACATTTGCTATTGACTTTATAGTTTAAATCATTTTTGATATTTTTCTAAGTGAACCATCAGAGATGGGGAAGTGGTTTATAATAAAAACGTGAATGGAATTTCACTTCCGTTGTCTTTTTCTATAGATGTTCGTGTTACAAGTGAACAAAGCTTTAAATGTACGGACACAGTGTCTGTATGTGTCCATAGCCATCATCTGTCTGTCGTCGCCGTGCACTTCGTCGTTAACACAATAAGTGGAAAAAAATTGACCTTCTGTCCTTAAAGGGATAATAACTCTTCATATGAGATCTTTATTTCACAACAAAAACATTGCGAATAACTCATAGAAGTAAAATATATTGTTTTACCACAAAAACGGCAGTTATAGCTATTATTCTGATATCTGAGCTCGTCTTTAGACCACGTGACCTCCATTGATGGCTATACTGATGATTTTAACAAAAAACCAAACTTTTTAGAAAAAAACCATGGACTTACTTTGAATGTAAAAATGGATTTATTAACCATTGGTAAATATGGGAAAATTGTTGTTTACTCCAGGAAAATTGATTTTTTGACCGAAACGAAGAGTTATTATCCCTTACAAAACTATAATAATAAAACACTTCTTTAAAACCGCGCTACACATGCGTCTCAGCGCTGTTTACATAAAAAATATTATTATTATTATTATTATTACTTACAAAACTGACGAATGTTCATAAAATTCATGCCGAATTCAAAACTCGGCTTGATCAATCCATTTTTTTAAAGTTATGATGTTTTTTCGTTGTTTATGACGAACTCGATGGACAAAAAGTTTAGTGTTAAAGGAATACATCCGGGATTTACCCGCCAGATCAAACTTCCCTCGGAATCTCTCTCTCTCTCTCTCTCTCTCTCTCTCTCTCATACATAATTAATTTATTTTTAAATGACTTAATAGTCGGCCATTTAGACCGCCATGCTCTTCCTTGCCTTTCCAAGGGTATTGTCGACGTCGGGTACATTTATTTTAGAGGTTCTAATTCGGAAAGGTGGGCAATTTTGTATTCTATGTAGACATGGAGAACTTGAGATTTTTTTTCAAACGTGGATTGTATAGATTTGAGAAACCAGTAATAACTGAATATGTCATTAATCAAAAATGGGGGAAAAAATGTGTTTAGAATGTTGCAACAAAAATCGTTCGAAAAGTTTGATAATTTTTTATTCTGAGTATAGAGTTTTACATCGGTGTGACAGGAATGGTACTTGTGTAGTCCTTGGAATGAGAGTCCTAGGTGCCATATGATTAGTACAGGTTAGGGTTAGTTGGGGTATTGGGGTTAGTATATGGGACGAACGTCACCTGTACAAAGTAATAGGAGCGGGCTACGGTTCCTAGCGGACTGCCATCCCTGTCAGATATTCCTGGGCAAATATTAAGGCACAAAAACAAATAGAATCTCCAAGTGGCGCCCTATGCAAGAGGCTATAGATTCAACTCGTATCTGAGATAAGCCATGTACATGCGACAATTGAACTTTTTGAGAAAAAAAAATGAGAAAAAAAAACTATTGATGTGATAAAAATCCGATTTCTTTCTACTTAAAAAAAAAATAAATAAATAAAATAAAATAAATAAAAGGGAAAGTTACAGCTATGCTGTTTCTATATTGTCTTGGAGCGTTTATGAGCTTCCATGAATTTCAATCTCTTCTCTCTCAGGTCCTCCAGCTTCTCCTTCAGGTCGCCTTGCTCATTCACAATCTCCAGCGCAGTCTGGAACATGGCTTGTCTTGACGAGCGAATGTCCCGGATGACATTGGTAACGCTATGGTTTATGACGCGCTGTGCGGCGTTCATGTAGGCAACCTGGAATAAGCAAGTGGTGGAGTCAAACATTTCATATTTTACGGATTGAAATGGTGTCCTTTTTCAAAAATAAAATTATGATTTTTTTTCTTTGACCTGGGTTCGACCCAGACCAACATTAAAAAAAAAAAAAAAGAAAGAAGTCGGCATTACTAATAATGAAATATTGTGCCTCTGTTACGCCAAGAAATGCATAATTCACTGTCTAGGCTATTGCTTTTTTTTTCGTAACGAAGACCCCTAAACCGTAATTTTTGATCCACTCTTTGAAACAGACCGGGGACCACGTTCTTTTGTGACACCGAACCCAGACATGCCAAGCCATTAAATTACTTCACCATCTCAAATAATTCATGGAAGAGTGACATGTACCTATATAAGATGAAAGGCCTGGAACTTGTAGGCCGTCACATCAGACTTGAAGTCAACTGTAAAAAAAAAAAAAAAAAAAAAAAAAAAAAGCGGGGGAGTAGGAGGTCTGTTTGTGAAGAAGATTATTTTTACTCTAATTTGACACCATTTTAAGAGAAACCTTACGGCAGCTCAATTTGAGAACGGACCGTCTTTGACCACAAGATTGTCTCCTTTCACCCCTCCCCCCAGCCTTTCTTCTCCCTTGACAAGGTCAAGGACATTGGCCCTTGGTCATTTTTAACGACAGGTTGAAAATAACTATCCCCCCTAGTGATGTGCATACCACTCCCGTCACAGCCAAGCTAATGGCCCCAATCCATCAACGGACATCAACAGTAGCATTAGACACTCATCTATTCCATCAGGATGAATAACATGTGCAATTCATGATTTATTCAGAATTTTTTATCGATTTGTGGGTGACAGATGCACTTAATGGTGTTTGTCAGAAGAAGATATCAATGTGCGAGTATCGGATGACCCTAGGAGTGGAAGAGCGTTCACAACGTGCCTAACCCAAACTGGTTGTAGTCCAAGTGACGTCAGCAAGCGAGAGACATAGTCGGATGCATGGAAAGGGTGACCGTGCGAGAGAAAATGCGTTCAACGATGGTCTTGCTTTACGAATGGCTGGTGTAGAGGTCACCTTGACCCCACCGCCCCCTGCGTACCTTGTAAATTCTCCTCTCAAGAAAGAAAGGGGGGAAGGGTGTGTGTAAGATGGGAAAGGGGGGGGGGGTGGTGCTACATGGCAAATAAGCCAGTGATTTCCTGTCCCGTGCCGTACATATTTTAGGGCGGGAGAATGGAGATTCCTTGTCTACCGGGTACTATGCGAAAGAAGGGCCTAGATTATGATCTTGCTTTACGAATGGTTGGTCCATGGGTCACCTTGCTCCCACCACCCCGCGTACTTTATTAATTCTCCCCTTAGGAAAAAATAGAGGTGGGGGGGGGGGGGGGGGGGGAGGGGGGGGGGTCAGGGAGCTACGTGGTAAATAACCTAGTGATTTCTAACCCTATGTCCTACATATTAGGGCGGGAGAATGAAGCTTCCTTATCTACCGGGTACTATTCGAGAGAAGCTAGGGCCTAGATTACGGTCCTGCTTTACAAAAGAATGACCCAGGGGTTACCTTGCCCCCACTACCTCTGCGTACTTAATATATTTTCCTCTTATGAAAAAGGTTTTCTAGCCCTGTGCCCTACACATTAGGGTGGGAGAATGAAGTTTCCTTATCTGGTATGCGAAAGAAGGGCTCATATTTGCCAACCAAGCCTAGCAAATTTGTGGAAACAGTTTTGAAAGCAACTTAGCCTATTTGGTGTCTGGCGGAGTACAAACTCGTGGAAGTTTTAAAAGACCAAGGCCCTTAAAAATAGTATCCACCTCTCATGCAAACTATTGTAATCATTTATGACGTTCTTCAAAAAACTGAAAGCTCACTTCATTTCGGAGAGAGTGCCTTCAAGTAAGCGAAATTCTGTGTAAGATTCTAGGATTACTCGTAAAACGAACCAGCATGTGGTTCTTGTAAAAATTGATTCAAGGGAACAATTCCGGCTTATGTGGTTATAGAAATACAAGGTACTCGGATGGATTTTGATGAAAATTGATTTTCACTGCAGGAAGATGAGGGATTTTGATCAGGTGTCCGACGTGTCTCCAGGGGACAGTGTATTAGGACTTGGTCATCTATTGACATGGCTTAAATGGAATCAATTTTGACAGACCAATCTTATAACAACTACCATTTCCTACCTTGTACCCCTGTACTTTTGCGCCTTCTCACCCAACAAAAAGAAAAAAAGTAAAAATAATAAATAGAATAAAAAAAGAAAATATATAAATAAGAAAAAAATTATTAAAATCCTGTCAGAATATTAACAATGGCATTAGAAATGAAGTAGTAGAAAAATAAAGAAAGATGAAATATAAATAAAATTAAAATGAAATAAAATAGAAGCTTAAAAAAAAACAAAACTAAATACATCGGACATCTCGTGGATAAAACTCGAGGGAACTGCAGTCATATAATATGGTTGTAAAGTTTTCAATCATTTTACTTCCGTCTCGCAGAAAGAGCGGCGCTGACCACTTACGCTGATTATTGAAATGGGGCATATAATTAAATGTTTTTTTTTTCTCAAGAAGCCTGCTTTTGGATCCAATTCCGCTGACGATGGTTACTTACTAAAAGTAAAATATTACTTATATCAAATTATTTATTGCATAGAAAATTATTTTATATAAAATAACTGAACTCTTACCCTCAGTTTTGGTGGTAAGTTCTGCAATCTTTTCAGCATCACAGGGTCGTCGAAAATGTCCTCCATTGTTTAACGTGATACAGCTCAGAATGATTTTTTGCATACGCTGTAATTCTCTGCCAGCGATGTCGGCGTCTTACATTTGTATTTAATGGACGTCTAAAAATGCCATCAATGAACTCCGATAATGCACCATAGACCGTCCTACTGACACATCAAAATTAGAAAACAACGTTTTAAGTCTAAGAAGATGAAACCGTTGGTCCGGTGGCTTGAATCTTGAGTATACCTTTCTATCTTGTTATTATTCTTGCTTTAGTGAAAAAGGAGCAGACGGTCAATGTCCTTTTATAGTACTAAAGGCCTTTTTCATCTAGATTGTATCTTAATCGATAATGATTCACTCTGTCTTGGCGTGAAAATTATTTTTAAAGCCTGCCTGATGTGAAATTCAGTTAGTTTTTTTCCGGTTCCGCAAACATCTGCATGTAGAAGCAACAAAACTGCAGGTTCATCAAAATAATGTAAAGCGACAGAATCCTTATGTCCAATAATTTTTACCTCCAACTACTTTTATCACAGCGACAAAATACTAGAGCTATCGCAGTAAAATGTTTTTCGGTTGAAACCCGTTCCTGGATGTAGTCCTGCCGCGGCTGTTTGTTGTCTGACGTCTTTTTTATTTCAAAAACACGGATGCGTCCGCGGTTAAAACAGACAGCCGATTAATCTTCCTGCCTATCTCCCATGTGAACGCTTTGGGTACTTTTGATGCATGGGCGGCTTGAAAGGCTGTTGACTTCCAACGCTCGCGGCAAAACTCGCCAATAGAAGAACACAGGGCACCTGCAGAAAAAATCCCAGAGTCGTTTTTTTCTATGTGTTTTGATGATTTATGATCTTGTTAGTCGATAGAAAAGGGAAACTTCGCTGCGCACGTCCTGTACATATATATATCAAACGAAGTATGTAATTGGGAACAATGGGTTCACAAAATTCTCCACTTACTGCTTCTGCCAATTTGCCCCCTTTTAGTGCAGTAAGACAGTAAGATAACAAGAACGCTTTGCATCACTGGACTGAAATGCAAACCAAAAAAAAAAAAAAAGTCAATGAAAACCCCAATGACACATCATCAATTCACAAAATGTTTTGCACTTGAGGAATATTGCCAACGTTGATTCCCACTTCAGACATTCCACTTGGCGAAGGTACTTCTAGGTTCATTGTGAAAAGCCTTTACTGAAACATGAGCGCGGTAAAAACCACATCCTCCATGGAGAAAAAAATGTGAAAAAAGATAGACTTTATACTTTCGTGTTCGAAGTGTGACCAATGCTAACCGTTTTGCAGCACTCTCGGAATAATTACCAGAATTTGACACCTGTCAGTCTTTCGTGTTGTCACATTATGCAGTGTCTGCTTGAGGTAATACAATCAAATTATCGATTATTCTCTTGCGCTCTGACGCATGCGCAGAACGGAGTTCTCCCCTGGTACAACTCGCTGTCAATCTGGTTCCTCTATGAACACCGCAAGAGAAAGAAGAACGATCCTGGTTCGAGTTGATTCCCCCTCTATATGTGTGTGGTCTTTGATCAGAAGGGTCCAATTTACAAGAACAATGTTCTAATAAAACTTGTCCTAAAACATGCAGGTGTGTGGTAGTTTGGGATGCAGTTGGGTGACTGTGTAAGTCTATCCACTGCACAGAAACCCCACGAGGACTTCGACTTGGGCTTTGTTTAAGTACGACAGACCGCGTTTAATGAAGCAAAGTCTCAGCTTTATTTTACGAAGCACTCTCTTGCAGTGAAATGGTTGAGCCTTTAGAAAGATCTGAAAATATTTGAAAAAACAACACTTACAATATGAAAACTTTTTTTTTGCGAGTAGAGTTATTTCATCTCGAATCGACGCTAGGACAGTAATCTAATTATCCCACCAAATGCCTCACGCATTATCTTGTGGGTCCTATTCTTCCTATTCAAATAAGCTTATACAACAGCCTCTCCCACCTGTTTGTTTCCCGAGATGTTCCATGGCACTTCGAGTAAACATGTGTTGTATATGCATTATACGTGATAGATTGCTTTGTTTACGGCTGAAACGCGATCCAGATATCGTCTCCGCTCTATTGACATCTATATCGACAAACTGTCCACGGAATCTTGATGGAAGCTCTGTCATCATGCTCACTTAAACATGCAGGCCCGTAGCCAGGGGGGGGGGGGGGGTTCGGGGGGTTCGAAAGAACCCCCCTTTTTGCTGGAAAAAGGCCCTTCGGGGGAAAATTTG